TAATTTATCATAAGGTTTATTATCCTTTATCATAATATTATTATTCCCATGGGAAGCTATCCAGCTCAAGGGGAGCTCAGGGAAAGTTAACTCTAAGTTTGTTTATACTTTTATGCAAGTAAAATTATTTCATCAAAATACGTGTTTTTTTTAATCTTAAAAAGGGGGAGATTGTTAGAGTAAGAAAGCTTCTAAGCAATTCTTTATTTTGATGATAACAACCATATATTTTGTGAGTAAAAATTTTAGTACTACTAATGGTTTTATTAAGTGTGCAGATCTAAAAACAAGAAACGTTCTATAAAAAAGCTTGCGCAAATATAGCTTAGAAAGCTGAAGATACAATAATCAGAAAGCTTCTACAACTGAAGTTGTCTCTCAGATAAGTTGTTGCCTATGCATCTGAAGACATGATCGTCCATCAGAAAGATTCTAACACCTTGACCAAAATAGATAAAGAATCAAAAGTAGAAAGAAGCAGGACGAATACATTCTCAACATTTTTTGTCTCACTGATCAAAAATATAAACACGCTTTCAAGGAGTAATCACATATCAAAATAAAAGCATTATATTTCAGATAAGTTGATGCCTATAGCTCTGAAAACAAGATGTGTTCCTAAAGTTCAATCTAGTGTTTCATCTTATCAGTAGTTTCTGAACTACTCATCAGAAGAATAAGACAAGCAATAAGTCTCAAGCTCAGTACTCCAAAACAAAAATAACATCTTCAGGAGAAATCAAGTTCTATACAGAAACAAGCTAAACAAAGATCAAAAAAGTCCAGATATATCTTCAGTAATGCTCTAATAAAAACTAGACAATGATCACAGTTTTCAAGGAAATAATGATGGTAATTCTCAACTATATCTTGGATAAACAAAAATAAATCACACCTCCTACACAGTAATCATTACAAAAGGTAGATTTGCATTGAAAACATATCAACTGCAAAATACACGTTACAATGCATTATATGCTCCAAAAATATTATTCTCTCAAGCCAATATAAAGCAACTTTGGTATACTTAAAAGAGTGGCTATGTGGATGAACAACACCAAGAATTTCACAAGCACAAAGTAGTATCACTTTGAAATTCAATAGTTACACTGAGTTGTTTCTCTATAGTGTAATATTTCATTAATCATATTAAAGTGTCAACAACTTACTAAGAAGCAACGTGTTCATCATAACTTAGTTCCAAAAAGGTTGTCAGTCTTACAAGAAAAACATCACAACAACAGAAAGAATGAAGGATCAACTAGAAATAAGAAACATGAGTCAATACTCGTGTCTTGATCATTGAAGAAAAGAAGTTGAAGATCTCAATAAGATGCCATTCAAAATATAAATCAAAATTCATCTCAAGAGAAACTAGACAAGAAGAAAGAAGCTATTTTGTTCAGATTGATTAACAAAGAAGATGAAGATAAGAAGACTACCAAATATTTTGCACTTAATCTCCATAACACTCAACCTTGTAGAAACATGCAAAACACAAGAGTTGTAGCTCTGATTGTGTTATCTCTTAGAAACCTTCATGTAAATTGTTTTAGACAACGAAGTTGTTACTCAAAAGTTTGTCAAAACGTATGTACTCTAAGTAGGTGAAATCTGCTTGGTAAGAAGCACTCATGTAAATCTTGAGAAAAATGACTCTTTCTAGAATTGGTGTTTCCTCAAGTGACTTTCTAGTCTGTATACTTCAGAGGGGTAAGAGGTATTTCTAGATTCTTAGAGGTTGTTATCATTTTTCAAGATTAGTGGATTAAGTCCTTTTCTAAGGCAAAATTACATGAGGAGGGTGGACAAGATGTAACCTTAGTTGAGAAGGTGAGCTTGTATAAAAATGAATGTGTTCTTTACTGCTATTAGTTTTTACATGCTCAAAGGCTTCCGAAAGTTCTTTAGAAAGGGAAAAAGTTTCTATCAACACAATTCAAACCCCCGTTTCTTGTGTTTTTCTCCACCTTCAATCATATCATAAGTAATCATACCTAAATATCTCTGCCTCGGTGGAATGAACAGCTTCACACTAAAATAGAGGTTTGTCACCATGTGCAACCTTGGGGCATAGATGGCAGGCATGATAATACCAACCAAATTGAGATGCTATTAAAATTTTGGTTTCGGAAACAGTAGCACAAAATGGGATATGTATCAACAGTACATAATATAAATAGTAAATGATGTAAAAGGCATGGCCAACACAATTAAATAAAAAGTAAACATTATAGGAAAGGAAGTGCATCATCACAAAGTTTAGTAATCTCGGTGAGAGGCATAATATTAGCCTTAGAAAGTAACTTTTGAATATGAGTTTGTTGAGTATTTTTAGATCTTTGTGAGTAAAGCTGAGAATTAGAGCTTAGTTGTCCAGATACACTAACCAAATAGTCTTTAGGGATGTTGCATGAATAATTCAATTAAAAAGCGTCTACATAACATAATCATGGATCTACCAAAGAAATGTAGACAACATATATTACATAGAATGCACCAGTCTATAAACTCTTTGATTGGAAGAAAATCAACATCGAGGTAGAGCATGGTAACACTGTAAGTGTTTATGACTAACAACGGAAACTTCCCTACATTAATCAAGTAAAAGATAAGTTTGAGTAATCAAAAGTATCACACTATTAGTAGCAACACAAACCAACTAACCCTCTTTCTTGACTTTTGCATACTGAAGCAAAACGACAGTTGGACCAGACACATTGACTTGATCCTGGTTGAACTTGATGAATTGGTCGGCATACGCCTCTCAAAGAGTGCAATTCAGAGTGTTCTTGCTAAACAAATAATACATGATAGTGTTTTAAAACCTGAAGTCAATATGAATTCAAATAAGAGTGTTGTTGGGAGTAAATATACAAACTTGTGGTCTCTTAGTACTAACTTAACTTGTCATTTTTTCGCCCCTGACCGTGTTTGTGAAAATCCACTACTATCAACCATTCCAATAATGTCTGGCAAACAGATAAAATGGATTTAAGAGTAAAATAACATATCAGACATAAAAGTGTAAGCAAAACACGAAGAATATATAAACAAAGGTTTGTTACCTATCAGCACATCTTTGTCAGATCTTCCAGTGATGATATTAGAAAAACTTGTAAAGTTTAGTGGTTTGGGTGGTATTTCGTGTTTATTATCATCACTAACAGATGTTCCTCTAGTAAATTTCACCATAAACTTGTGTGATGAAGGCTTGAAGGTCAACACATTAGCCTGAACTTTAAAGTTCGACACAATGTAAGTATGGTCCAAGGCTAATTTGTCACAGAATGCGACCATATGTGTTGTTGACACAACAACGTGTATATCACCCCATATGATGGACATAAAAGTCGAATGCATACGAAATAATAAAAGTACAAAAAGTAAACGGTGTGCTACCATTTTACGAAGGTTTCATAGACAAAATAGTTATCAAATACCCTGCAACATATAACTCGATATAACATAAAGAATCAAAAAGCATAAAGCAAATAAACAGAAGCACAATGAGGTACGAAAATTATGTCTTTGTCTATGAAGATCATCTCAAAGTGCTCATTGTTGTTGGAAACAACCGTCCGTTTATAGTGCACCCTGACAACCACCTTCCATAGCTCATTGTTGTCGTTGATGTCGCAAATTCTCTCCAAAAGTATGGCCATGTCGAAGCGGCATAGAAAGTATCAGTGGGAGTTGGAAGAAGAAAAATCAGATGTTTCGGCAGGGAGGTTAATGAAGATTTAGAGAGGAAAGGAAGTTGGAGTATTTAGGTTTATTTATAATGATTAAGCATTGGAAGTTATAAGATTTTAGAAGAAATGAGCATGGTAAAATAAAACAGTCGTGGATTAATGAGTGAGGAATCGTTTTGAATTTGGAAGAGAAACTGTTTTTGAGACCATCGTAAAATAAATTATTGAAATCAAATGAAAATTAGACTATACAAAAAAGAGTGTTGAATGTTTAAGCTATACGCGTAGATTAATATGGAATAATAAAAATAATATGGAATAATAAAAATAATTAACGTTTTTAAACAATACTTAATTTTCATATAAGATAGGTTAACTGAAAAAATTACATTAATTAACAAAGATGCATTGAAAGAGCATTTTAATTTATTAAAAAATCTATATGTAAACAATGCCTGAGCCAAAAAAAAATTATTAAGTCTGAGCAAAATTACCAAAGTCCTAAAAAATTAATTTATTTGATCCCTCAGTAAGTAAGAGTTTTAATTTTAATTTTTTTTTTTCTATACAAATTACCTAAACCCAAAGAAATTTTAAGTCAAAGCCTAGAATTCATAAATATATATATATATATATATATATATATATATATATATATATATATATATATATATATATATATATATATATATATATATATATATATATATATATATATATATAAAGAGAGGTTGAAAAGAAATGTTACTCTTTAAATTACTTATTTATAATTTAACCATTGTTTTTTAATTAATAATAAAAGAATTAAATATTTATACTTAGATATTAAGTTTCTGTATTATATATTTTTTCTTTCAATCTCACAATTTATTTAAAAAATTTATTTCACAATTTCATCATATTTTAAAATTAATTTTATCAATAAAAATATTTAATTTTTAAAATAGTTGAATTAAATATTATAATTTTCATTATAGATACACGTTATTGAGTTTCCTGACGAGTAAATTAATTAACATTCTTGTCTTTTATTTTATTTTAGAATAATGATTATTTAATTAATTTATATTTTAATTATTTGTGGAACTTAGCATCTACTCCAAGTTTACAATTAAGGTGACAGTTACATTCTACAAACCTGAAACATGTCTTCTTCCACTACTTGCTGATCGTGTCTCTTTCTTTTCTCCACCGTTTCAGATTGAAACCCTCTCTCACCAAACCCACCTTCCATCTTCTCTACAACACAACCCTTCTCCATAAATTTCGAAACTTGTCTCTCTGGGTAACTTCTAGAGAGAGAGAATGCCTCGTAGAGATCTAGAGAGAGACGGGGCAAACAAGAGCTATTCTTCTTCTGTTCCTCCTTCACGTGTCTATGATCCAGAAACTAGCTGGACATCATGGCTTGTTCCTTTGTTTGTTGTGGCTAATCTTGTTATTTTCATTCTAGCCATGTATATTAATGATTGTCCTGGTAAGGTTCATGCGGTTGAAGGTGATTGTGTGTTTAAGTTCCTTGGGAGATTCGCTTTTCAGCCTACCAATGAGAATCCTTTGTTTGGTCCTTCTTCTTTAACGTAAGACTTATATTACTGTTTTTTTTTCTTCTTTTTTTGTTTCTTTAATACTCTTGTTTAGATTTTCATGTACCTTTGATTTTGAATTTATTTTAGGTTTAGGGGTTTGGCTTAGTGAATTGGATTTGGGGGTTTCTTGTTTCTGATTCTACCTTGATCTAATTTGTGTGTCTCTAATTTCACATTGCCATTAGTTTGTGAGACATCGTTGTTATAGTCTTTTAATGTATCAAAATTGCACAAACATCCTTAAATATGTCTTTCCTTAGTAATTTTGTGATTGTTTGAGCTAGGGTCGTCTTAAATTTTTGAAAGAGTTGAGTAGGTTAGTCATGGTTCAACTATGACGGTACAACTGAGGCCTTATATAGTCATGGTTTAACTCTATCAAACCTATTATGAGGTCCTATTTTGACAAATTTGAGGCTCTGTGTTCTAACCTTATAAACAACGGTCCTCAAAAACGGTCCTGGTTTGAGCTAGAGTTCTTTGCCTCAACTCTTATGTAATATGGTACTAAAGTTTTTTGGAGAACATTTGATTTATTGATCAGTTTTTTTGTTGATTTTTTGTAGACTAACGAAGATGGGAGCTCTTAAGTGGGATGCTGTTGTTAATCATCATCAAGGATGGAGACTTATCACATGCATATGGTTACATGCTGGAATTATTCATTTGGCAGCAAACATGTTAAGTCTGATCTTCATTGGCATTCGCCTTGAACAACAATTTGGGTTCGGTACGTCTCTATTTTTGTCATCCGTTCATTTACGCCGTTAATTCAATGCCATCAATTGCAGAAAGCGGAAAATTTCCGTTTGTTCAAATTTAACTATACTATAGAGCTATAGTATTTGACAATAATTTATTCTAAATAATGTATCACAGAACATTAGAGATTTGCTCAAATTCCGTTTCCCTATAGAATTGATAAAGCCACTATTTCACAACATTGGTTCCATTTAGTGAATTTTATTGAAACCTAGGAATGGAAAATATTAAACTCCACAGTTTTATATTTATCTGCAAGCTTATTTACCTGATGAGTTTATGTGTTAAAGTTCTGCATTATAAAGAGGCATGACCGGACATTTTGTTGAAACATTTGCAGTGAGGATAGGAATCATTTACCTTGTATCTGGATTCGGTGGGAGTATCCTATCTTCTCTATTCATTAGAAACAACATCTCTGTTGGTGCTTCTGGCGCTCTTTTTGGACTTCTTGGAGCAATGCTTTCAGAACTTATCACAAACTGGAGTATTTATACCAATAAAGTGAGTGAGTGTAGTTAGTGATTGATAATTTGTTCCATATCCTGTTTATGCAATCTGATGCTTTTATTTCGATAATATGAAAAGCACTTCTGATACTCAAAGATGCCACTTTTGCATTACGAATTTGTTTGGATTGACTTATTTGATGTTATATGTTGACATAAACACTTATCAGATTGTTTGGGAGAACTTATGGAAACATCTTATGACATTTCCGTAAGCTGTTTTAAGCTTATTTCCACAAGATCTCTAAGATATAGCTTATATGGAAACAATTTGACTATTTATCTTTTGTTTTAGAAATAGTTTATACAAAAGCACTTACATGATAGGCCTTATGCTATAAAAGTTTGATTAAACTTTTCAAGTAGATTAGAAATCTCATATCTGTGTAGTATTTAGCACTGATACTTTTGAAAAAAGACATGTCAGTGTCGGTGTCAGTATTCCAACATTTGTGATTATGTTTAATTTATTCATATTTTTTAAATTATTACCGGTGTCAACGTTTCGGTGTCGTGTCTGGTTTCCGTGGTTCATATTGTCTGCCTGTAGGACTAAATTTCATTTTTAACACCATTTTCATGTTCCTTGCAGGTAGCTGCTTTGGTCACACTTTTGTTTATTGTTGTGATCAATCTTGCGATTGGAATGTTGCCACATGTCGACAATTTTGCTCATATTGGGGGATTCTTGACAGGATTTCTCCTTGGATTCATTTTTCTTCCTCGTCCTCAATTTGGGTGGTTAGCACAGCGACATGTTCCTGCTGGTGCTCGTCTCAAGTCCAAATACAAGGTTTACCAATATGTTCTATGGATTCTCTCCGTTATTCTAGTGATTTCCGGGTAAGTTCCTTTCTTGATTCCTCATTAGTAACCAAATGAGAATAACCTTTACAGAAAACCGAATTGTGAATTTTTGAACCAAACCGATTCTTTGTGAACCAAGCTGTTCTAAATTGCTATTACTAACTGATATCCGAACCAATTTTTTTTGCTAAGTTTACAATCTGTCATCGACTCATGCATTTCTCTAGTAATCACAAAGTAGACGTTATAACTTATATCTAATCATTGTAATCATTTGTTGAATTGAATGGTAGGTTGTGCATTGGTTTACTGATGCTGTTACGAGGCGGAAACGGATACGACCGCTGCCATTGGTGTCACTACCTATCATGTGTTCCGACTTCAAAATGGAAATGCAGTGACAGTTAAACTCTTCTTGTTCTTTTATGTATAGCTGTGACTTTTACAGATGTTTTTTTGGTTAATTCCTTATAAGAATCAGCTATTAGTTTTTGTGTTTGGATTTATGTGGGCATACACACATACATATATAAAAGAATTTATTTGTACATGAAGTTTCTATTTCAATAATATATAGTCCAGCTGAGTTTCTTGTTGCACAAGAGTGAAATATTGTTTATTTACTTGTTTATTTTGCATTAACAAACAATGCTACTATTGTTATTATTTGATAATAGCAATATAGTTATTGCCAATTTATAACTTTTAACCAACACAAGTACATTTGAATCTATTACATGTAACCTGGGTTTTTAAAAATGGTTGCGGTCGTGAAAAGACTTTTGCGATTTTGGTTGGTACAAATATTATAATGCGGTGTGAATTAACTACAATTTATATAAAAAGTGATATTGATACCCGCCGAAACTATTTTGTTGCGGCTGTTTTTGCAGTCACGGCCCATTTTATAAAAATGCTCATATATCATTCAACCATGAATGATGGTATTAGCACAGATGTTTGCATGCTGTCTTATAGCATATGAGCTGATTGCATTCCTATATTGTGACATCTAACCAAAGCATTTTCACTAATGCTTTAAGTAATCTTAGTACTCTCTTGCCTTATAAAATCAAATAAAAATTATATGCAAAAATTGAAAAAAAATTAGAGCATATTTGAAAGAGTTTTTTTTTTTTTCAAATCCATTTTTAATTTAAAAAAATAGAAGTTTTGTTTCATTGACTCATTTTCTTTTTTATAATTTTTTTCTTCATTTTCTGATGTTTTCACTAATGTTTTCTAGAGAGAATATCTTGATACATGTTCTTCTTTATGTTAGAACATCTCCAACTGTGAAATCATTTTTGAATTCTTTACAGGATCCACTAAGTCACGTCAGTTTGAAGTAATTCAACTAGTTTTTCACTTTAATAGTACAACTCTAAAGAATTCATATTAGGTCCCACAACTTTACTTAATATATTAATATTTTATTCATATTAAATTTTATATCATTTAAAACAGTAATTTTAATTATTTAAATTAAAATTGATATAAAATAAATAAAATTCAAATTAAACTTATAATTTAAAATGATAATTAAAATTAATTTCAAATATATGGCATATAATTAAAAATAATAAAAATAAATAACATCACATAAATTAATCAAACTTAAATTTCATCATCTTCATGTTCAAAGCATTTCCAAATATACTCGACTAGATCTCCTTGAAGTTGACGATGAACTTGTTTTTCACCAATATTTACTCTTCTTTTTAGTCTTGTTGCAAGATTCGGATGAAGACCGCTAAATGTTTCAGTTGTTGAGTTGTTGTTATCCACATTATCATAAGAGTAACCAAATTACCTCCATATGTATGTCGTTCATCTTCAACAATCATGTTGTGCAATATGATGCATGCATATATGGTATGTTTGAGGGTGTCCATGTGTCAAGTACGCACTGAGCCACGTATAATTGCAAATCGAGATTGAAGCACTCCAAATGTCCTTTTCACATATTTTCTAGCTTATTCTTGATGTTGAGCAAATAATTCTTTTTCTTCTCTCCTTGTGGCATTGAAATGGTCTTCACAAATGTAGCCCACTCAGGATATATACCATCGGCTAAATAATACTCCATATCATATGGTGTCCTATTGATTGTATATTGCACATTAGGAGCATGTTCTTCCAAATATCGTTAAACACGTTGGATTGGTTTAGCACATTAATGTCATTGTTTGAACCTGTAATGCCAAAAAAACATGTCAAATCCATAAGTCTTGTGATGCCTCTGCTTCAAGCATGACTGTGGGCTTTCCATGATCACCTCAACAAAATTGTCCTTTCCATGCAACAAGACAATTTTCCATTCCCAATGCATACAATCAATGGAGCCCAACATACCTGGAAAGCCACGTGACTCCCCCAAATACAGCATTCACGCCCCGAACGAATCTTTGTAAGCACTCAATTGAAGTGCTTTCACCTATTCGAACATATTCGTCTACAACGTCAGCAGGAGACCCATACGCCAACATACGAAAAGAAGACGTACATTTCTGCAATGGTGAAAGACCCATTTTACCAGTTGCATCAACCCTCTTTTAGAAATATTCATCATGATTTCCAAGGGCATCTACAATTTGAAGAAATACATGCCTATGCATTCTGAACCTTCTTCGAAATTGAACATCTATGTATATTGGATTTTTTGAGAAGTAGTCATTAAATAATCAATTGTGTCCTTCTTCACGACTTCGATCTAACAACGTTCTTCTCTTTGTCATAGAGGAACTTCCAGATTAATGTTCGTTCTCAAGTGGTTGTTCTTTATCACTGTCGTCCATAAATTCTTCTTCAACCAACTCCCAAAATTCTTGGTCAAAATCATCTGAATTGTCTGAATCCATTTTAGTGCCTAAAGAATGAGAGAAAAACGATAGAAGAAATAGAGAAGTATAAGAAAAGAATAAGATGAGAATGAGAAAACAATGACATAAGCGGTAGTATATATAATGGTTTGTGTAACGGCTAGTTTGAATAATGACTAGTTTGTATAACAACTAGTTTGAATAATGGCTAGTTTGAATAACGGCTAGTTTGAATAACGGTGTTACCTTGAAAAATCTTAAGGCAAACAAGCACGCATAGTAAATGAGAATATCCTCATAAGCCAAGGGTTATCCTATGAAATAAGGGTTTTTTGGGAAATAGGGGACAAAGTGTTTGGAAATTTGGTTTCATTAAACTAGATTTATTGTCTAAAGGGAATGTCACGCCAAGCTGTCGAAAATGAACCAGGTTAACCAAAAGAAAATAAAATAATAAATGTCAAGGAAATGATCGAAATTAGTTTAGTCAACCGGTGGGCGAAAGGCAAAGAAAAGGGTCGAAATTAGTTTTTGTCAACTAAAAGGGTTTCTGGACTTAGAGAAATTGTTGATTTTTAATCTTGTCAAAGGGAAAGTGTCGAAGCGAGTCAGAAGCGGTTTATTTTCGGAAGCTGAGAGCGAGAAGATTAGAATTTCAAAGTCATCAGCAGTTACCAGCGGTTTACAAATTGTTTAAAGTGCCAAATAGGTGGCAACATCCAGTGAAGCGGTTATCTCAAGTTTTTAATATGCTCCGTAGATTTCATCTAGGCAGTTGCATTGTATACTATAAATAAGCAGATTTATTATAGTTTTTGGGTGTTCACTTGTATGCTCAAATCACTTGTAAAAACTCCGTCATTCCGAGTGTTAGGAAACAAAGAGTGAAGAAGTGCTTGATGTACATGAATTACCATTTTTATTTCAACGAAAATCCTTTATTTTTCAATTATCTCTTTTGAATACTTTATTTGCTTTCTATATACTGCCGAACACGGCCTTTACGTTATTTTCTGCTTCGCATAAACAATTCAATGCTCTATGTCGGTCACGAGTCACCAGTCAGTTAGTTTATTGAATCTTATTTTCGTATAAATACCTTCTATTGGTCACAAGTCACCAGTCCGTAGGTCGATTCATAGTGTGGAGATCTGTTATATTTGTTCCCTTAGTCACGGAAAGTCGTTTCCCTTTATAAGGATTTCAACAGAATAAGTATAATAACAAAACTCTTATCACATATCTTAAGATCAACTGGTCGATCTTGCAAGTTACCCTTAGTTTTAGGTCTTTGGGAGGACCAACAGTTATTTACCATTTTCCACATTAAAAAAATTGGCACACCCAGTGGAACATTAGTGCTAAGAATTTGTCTTAGGTGTATGCAGCTTAGAAATGGAAAGTTAACCAAAGAGTATAATCAACCATCATCTAGGAAGCATATATCAAAAATGACAATTCTTGATAATCCAAACGTAGACAAAATACCATCATGAATTTTAACTACTATTGATCCAGTAGTTTCTCAAGTTGCACCTTTTCCTCCAGTCGGGTCAACTGCAGCAGGTCCGACACAAATTTCTCAGGCTCCACTGGGAAGCCCAAGGCCTGTAATGACTACGACCACCATTCCTAATGTGCCTCATTTTGGTAATGTGGATCCTGTTTATGGAATGCCATATTCCATGTTGCCAGGATACCAGTCAACGTCGAATGCAGCAGTGGTGTCAGATAATGTTCAAATGAACTCCCCTTTACAAGGATCTGCACCAGGAGGAAATAATAGAGGCAACCAAATTAGAGGAATTCCATCTCAACCAATAGTACCGTCTCTCACTAATACTTCATTAGCAGTGTTAAGGCAACAAATGGATGATAGTAACCATGAGCTGGTTAATATGTTAACTAACCAAATGGGTAACGTATTTAATCCTATAGTACAAGAGTCGACTGAGACTAATAGGCAGTCCGCTGAAACAAATAGGCAGGTGATTGCCCAATTAACACGTTTGTGCAATTTTTTAGGCGCTCCCCCAACACCTATTCAACAGGCGCCACTTGTTCGACTAGATGTCCCGGGTCAAATGGACATAGGGGCAATACAAGATGAAACTGTCCATCAGGGACAAGCTCCAGTACCTCCAAGGAATTTGATTGTCGATCCACCTATGGCATTAGTACATCGACATCAAGAGGCTGATCAAATTGTTGAACAAATTCGACAAGAGGATTTAGCTGTAGAAAATAATCTAACCACCATTGTCGAAAGAATTATGGCTAGGAATGGTATGAATACGACGCTTCAGAGGCCAACATATTCTTCCCCTTTGTCAGAATATATCCTATAGACTGAAAACCCTAGAGGATGAAAAATTCCTAAGTATACAAAATTTGGGGGAGAATCTGGAGAGTTGACAGTAGAACATATTTCTAGGTATTTGACTGAATTTGGCAATATGGAGAATAATGAAAACTTAAGGGTAAAACATTTTCCTTCTTCCCTTACTAAGGCAGCCTTCACGTGGTTTACCACTTTGCCTCCAAATTCGATTGACTCATGGACTAGGTTGGAAAAACTTTTCCATG